CTCCGGCAGCAACCCGGAAACGGATGTCGGCGCGCCGTCTGGTGATTTCATGTCAATTGTGTGTGTGTGTGTGTGTGTGTGTGTTGTGTGTGGTGATGCTGTGTGTGTGTGTGTGTGTGTGTGTGTGTGTGTGTGTGTGTGTGTGTGTGTGTGTGTGTGTGTGTGTGTGTGTGTGTGTGTGTGTGTGTGTGTGTGTGTGTACAGTATATGTGAGGGTGTGTTGATTCATCCATGCATGAATCCAAACGATGTGTAGGTGTGTATAAAGAGTGTGTGTGATTGACGGGGTGGAGCGAGCAGCGCCTTGCGGACTCACATTTCTTCTTCTATATTCATTAGCCTGCCGCTCGTCTCTCCTGGGATGGAGGATTAGCCCGAGAAGGGAAATGAATGCTTTCTGGGTAGGCGGCGTTCTCTCCGCCTGCAGCAGGAGGTCCATTGTCTGGTTTGATATCCGCGCAGCACACGGGACATCTGATCTGGCAGCCCTGACACACACGACACAGCCTTTAGCACAGGGGAGGCACCTGGGAGGAAGCTGAACCGTGTTGACAGGAAGTGCTGTCGTTTCCATCTGGGAACTAGAGTGTAATCGGAGGAGTGGAATATGCGAGTGATTGACTTTACTTGTTGTAAAAGTGGTGGACAGTAATGAAGACTGTATTGGCTTCTTGTTGATAGGGTGGACAACAGGAAGTTGATTTACGCCTGTGGTGTGAATCATCAATACGTTGGGAATTGATTGGACTTTGTTACAGGAGGAGAGTCAGCAGTGAAGCCTTTCATTGGTAGTGTGTTAGAGAGTAAACAATAGAAAAAGAGTTTGACATAATGTGCTGGGAGAAGATTAGCATTAGAGGAATATGTGTGTGAAGCAGCTCTTTGCTGAACTACTCGGACAGGAGGGGGAGTTGACATTTTGATGCAATCAGTGGCAGCGTGAAGATATGCAAATAGCCTTTCATAATGCATTAGCAGCTTCTTGTATTATTCTGCTTCATTACTGAATAATACTAAATCATACAAAAAAATCTCTAGGACTAAATTACTGTCTGCAAATGGCAGCATTAAGCTTCAGAGGATAGAGCCCGTCTCTCACCAAACTGCCCCCTTCCCCTTTCTCCTCTGTCCATAAAATCCATCAAGGGAATTTAAGTAGCTGTTAATTACTTCCCTGTCCCATTGGAGAGAGAGAGAGAGAGAGAGAGAGAGAGAGAGACTGAGACTTTAACAGAGCTAAAGCTAAAGTGGTGAAAATCCTCTCTGCCTAACAAAGCCAAATCAATCTATACCCCTCAACCAGACCTAAACCGCTCTGCCCTCACACACACACACACACACACACACAGACACACACACACACACACACACACACACACACACACACACACACACACAAGCGCGCACACACACACACACACACACACAAGCGCACACACACATACAGGAAGATGATCCTGTAAATTGCTGGTCTCGAAGGTCTGTTTGAGTGCTACTCCAGGTTTTTTTTTGGGGGGGGGCGTTGACCACAGGGGCTGGGGGATTGAAGGAAAATCGTAAATATCCCCAAATTGCAGCTAAAATGTAACATTAAAATTGGTAAGCCCCACTCTGGCCCATAATCTTCCAGAGCACTAAACCATTGCACTAAATGACCTCTATTACAGAGCCTGAACCCATTACGTCAATACAGGAGCGATTACCTGTGAAACAGAAGCGACTAGCTGCCTCTGTGACAGACGTCGCCCCTAAAAAAAGCTCCGGGCAAAATTAGATTTGGGGCCGGGTGTGGCGTGTGCCTGTGGGCTAGAATTAGAGGATGTAGTAACGACCTCAACTTGGTTGTTAGGGAGGAATGTGTGTATGGGGGCATGAGGGTTGATCACAGGGCAAATGGCAGACATCAAAACCAGTAAAGTGCTGTGTGACTGAAGACCAAGTACAATTGGAAAGCTAAGAGAACGGCAGAGTGGTCAGGTGTTTAGTGAATTCCTGTGCTCTAAATGTCACTGTTTCCATCGTCTGATAATATATAATAAATCCCAAAAATGTTAACAGGTCAAGAAAGTAAGTGTAATTACATTCTTGCGTATCAGTCTGGAGAGTGTACTTCAAAAAACGGTATTAAGTGCCTTTTTGTCAGTAAATGTATAATTCACCTGCAGTTGGTAAAAACATTAAATTGATTTGATGCATACAAAAAGAGAAAGTTAACTTACACAATCAGGGTTCCCCACTGAAAGAAATGTCATTCTTTCTGTAGCTCTTAATAGGCAGTATTTGTAATCATTGTACATATCTGACCATGTCAATAGTGTTGTTTTCATCTTCGCTATGAACAGTGTTGATAGTGTTTTTAGTATGTTCGGGCTTAACAGTGACTTGAAGGTTGGAGAAAGTCAGACACTTCAAAACTTTTAACCCACGCACGGCAAGAATAACTCATGGCAAATGAAACTGTCTTATAAACAGTTTAGTCATTTTAAAGTCAGTGGAAAGAATGTCTGTCTATAGTCTTCATTATCATCATCTGCTCTAAAAACCTCAACATCCTAAACATTCTCCCGTCTGCCTCTTATACTCTGTGCCGCACTTTCTTTTGTACCAAAGATCTCCAACCTGTTCAGGGCACTAGTGTCTGCTATCTTGTAGTCGGGGCTGAAAATGAAGTCGGATTTCTGGAAGTGTGTGTGTATTTCTCTCTCAGATTCTATAGGATCTGAACGAGGTGATCTCAATGCTGCAGTCACGCAGGGTGACGCTGTCTTTTGTGTGTGTGTGTGTGTGTGTGTGTGTGTGTGTGTGTGTGTGTGTGTGTGTGTGTGTGTGTGTGTGTGTGTGTGTGTGTGTGTGTTCTGTGTTTGTTGCCATAGCTGACATCCCGCAGGGAGCGGATAGTGGTGGAGATGGAGGACGTTTTTAAGCACTTCAAAGTGGCCTCATTCCACACAGCTGAGCTCAGATGTGGGTGTGTGTGCGCGTATGTGTCTGTTCTCCTTCCATAAACCTCTGTGTGCTTGTCAGTCAGTATATGTTGTTCACAGGTCTATGTATGTAAATGTGTTCATACACTTCATGTGCTAGTCTGTACATGTCTGTGTGTGTGTGTGTGTGTGTGTGTGTGTGTGTGTGTGTGTGTGTGTGTGTGTGTGTGTGTGTGTGTGTGTGTGTGTGTGTGTGTGTGTGTGTGTGTGTGTGTGTGTGTGTGTGTGTTTCTCTTGTGTTTCTGTGCACATGTAAAGATGGACTGCTGTACCTGGCTTTCTTTATACCCTCTTCCAATCTCAGCTCCTCTTGGGAAATGAACCACAGCGAGCACTGCAGTGCTTTGGGCCTCTTCTTAATGTGTGTGTACCTGTGTGTGTTTCAAAGTGTATAAAAAAGGCTGCGTCTCACACACGCTGAGTGGAAGACAAGGGAAAGTGAAAAGACAGAGTGTCACAGTGACTGATGAGTTTCTGATTTCAACCTCAGCCGCAGTGAGGGTGAAATCCACTTGCTATTGCTTTGTCTCCTCTCTCCCCGCAGGAGAAAATGGAAATAGCCAACATCGAACCGAAGCAGTCAATACCACTCTCCAGAAAAGGGCTGAGAGGGACGCTGTCCGCCGCAGAGAGAGACTGATGGAGGGAGGAGTGGGAGATAGCCGGAGTATGTCAGGTTTCATCTGCCCCATGTGACACACAGCGCTCTGACAGTTCTGCTACACTTGATAGTCCCAAACCCTCTCTGCTCACACACACTTTGTATCTATGCTTGCTGTCCTTTCTTTCATGTACATTCTTCTGTCTCTGCCCTCCCTCTCTTTGCAGTCCTCAATTTATCTTTATCAGTCCCTCACCCCTCTGGGCTGCCATTTTGCAGCATATGGCTCTCCCACACAAGCGCGCACACAGGCACTGCCATATGCGTTTGCTCATACACCCTCACACACACACACACACACACACACACACACACACACACACACACACACACACACACACACACACACACACACACACACACACACACACACACACACACACACACAACACACAGCCACCATCCCTTCATCTCTTGCTCCTGTTTTATCTGCTCATCTTCCTTCGGCTGTGTCTTATATTAAAATAGGGCACCTGGGCCAAGTCCTCTGCATTAAATGAGCTCATTATGAAACAGTACAAGATGGCAGACGAGAGGATATTGTAATGAAGGGATGCCTTTTAGTGTCTGTTTCCACCTGACCTTTGATTGACTGAAAATGACTNACATATGCCAGGCCTGTAAGTGGCGCTGTAGTCCTGCCACAAAAGCAGCGAAGAAGACTTCCCGTGCATGGTTGCCATGGTTGCCCTTCTCTTATTCCCGCTGTGGACGCTCTGGCTCTTTTTCTCCCTCCCCGAGGCCTGCGCTTGCTCCTGCTGTAAATCTCTCCGGTAGTCCACCAGCAGACCGTGAGGCAGAGTTTCAGTTAGATCTTTTTTCGCTGGTCAACATGTCCGTTAAAGTTTAAATCTTCCGGACAAAATTAGAAAAGTGCCGGTCAAAGGTCTTCTTGGTTATGTATTGCGCTTTAAAACAAATGAATAACGACTCTATATAATAATAAAAAACGGAGCCTCTCTTTTCCTCCCCCACTTCTGAGAGCCCAGCAGCTGATCTCTGAGCAGGAGAGGTGGGGAGAGGCGGGGCTATGGCTTCAACGTTATCAGGAAATGGTCGTATAGGCCTAAACACAGAGCCGTTTGCCCCCCCAGAGCGTTTCGTTTGCAGATCTACCCACCTTGGGACCCGTTATCGTTTTCTGCGTTTCCATGTCGACCTCGTGTGGCCGGGGCCTAAAGCGCTGTACCAGATTTCAAATGGTACATCCCAATATTTTACCAAAGTTAAACTCCAAATGAGAAATAAAAATGACAATGCTTCCATTTTTAGGACGAGGGAAGAGAACTAGAGAAACCCTGAATAGGAAATTAAAAAGAAATGGAATAAATTGCAGAAAATATATATAATCCACTTCAACTGGTTGAGAGAAAATAGGCTCTGCCTGTCCAGGTGTTCACAATGCAGCAGGTGGCGGTGGAGATGGTATTGATTAGCCAAATATTGATATGAAGCCAAACGTTGATATTGTCTAATTAAGTATTACACAATGGCTGACAGTTCATTGAAAGTTTAATTATTGTAAATTCAATTTAATTCACAAACCACAACACCCCTGTTTATTTTATATTACATTATGTTGTTTTCAAAAATAATTACTGCTCAATTTCTCAATCTGTTTGTAGTTATAAACCCTCATCCAGTTGATTGCTATTGGTTATTATTTGTACACCTTGCTTAAACTAATGCATGAGTTGTTGATCAACTGTATATTTTAAATGTGCACGCATATACAGTAAGGACCACATAGTCACTGTTAGGACATTCAAACTGTGACTCCTGCTGTGCGAGTGTGCCTTGTGTTTTCTGCCTGAATAGAAGACACAAGGCACAGAGACCTTAGGGAATCTGACCCTGTGTACGCAATGTTATCATTACTGACATGTGGTGTGTATGTAAGTGTGTGTGTGCTAAGACTGTGTACTATTCTCGTCTCTGTCCTTACACAGGAGGATCCATTCAAAGTGAAGCCATCTGTGTTCAACAGCCAGCCTCAGGAGCTCCACACTGACCCTTTCCACTCTGAAGACCCCTTCAAAACAGACCCCTTCAAAGGTTAGCATCGCCCTCTACTTTACTTCCACTCATCTTCTCTCACTCCTCCTCTATCATAGAGCTCATTATTTGATTGTTAGCAATAATGTAGAACACATCAACTGTGTCGTCTCAATGTTCATGGGTTTCATCCCAGACCAATATGGCGGCTCTTTTGGAAACTGTCTTTATACGAAGATATTTCTGAAAACATTTAAGGCAGAAAATAATCTATGCAATTGCTGATTCTGTCTTGATTTAGACCGAGAATGGTTATTTTGTAAGTTTTCAGTTGCCACAAGTTGACATTTACAAGGAATGATGGGATAGGTAGCTGCTTCACTCGGGAATAATGATGTTTTTTTGTCACTTTGTGCTCTAGTCATTGTCCCTGCTGCTCCTTCTGCCTCTTGTTCTCATCTGATTATGTTTGTACTGCCGTTTATCTTTTCTCTTTCCTCCAAGTTCCTTCTAGTTTTTTTACCTTGAGTTGCTTTCTGACTGTGTCTTTGTTTTCCGCCTGCTCTTCGCTTTCTCCTGTAGGTGACCCTTTCCAAAATGACCCTTTTGCAAAGCAGCCATCGACTGTCACAGGTATTGCCTTAAGACTCAGATTTTGATATAGTTCAATTCACAAGAGAATCTGTCCCTCTTAATGGAATTGTTGAACGCTATACACACCTCCTTGAACTGCATGTACAATTTAAGCATTTCAAGAATCAATATTTGATGTAAAATATTATTAGTCTGGTGCATCTACATAAGTCCCCCCATCAGATACCCTCAATGTATTATTATCTAAATATCAATGTGGTTGCTAAAATATGGCTTATAAAGCATCCCACCTGCCCTTTGAGTTTTTCTTTTTATAGCTCACATGATTGTAATTGTGCATAGAATAAAAGTCATTCATACACATCATATATCCTATGTATTATTATATATACATAACCAGTATGATTCCCTGGTGAATGGTGTCTTAACCCTCAAATGAAACTCATACACGTCCTGCCTGTGCTTTTGGTGGCAGCCTTGTGTTTGTAGCTGTGCCCCCACATATGTGAAACAGCAGTATGTGTTTCTGTGACCTCTGTCACACTTCCCTCTTCAGCAATATTGTGAGGTTTCACTTCTCTGTGAGGTAGATGAAGATCAGTGATAGATTTCACCATTTTCCCACACATTATTATATATTGTTGTTGATCGTTTAGTGTGACGCCTAACCCAAAGCATATAACAGAGATAATAGAAAAGTTCTGTCTAACCGCATTGGAATGTGATGCTGGATGTGGGGCCTGGGTTTATTGCCTATCTGGTTTCATAATCAAACTGAAAGGCTAACACGCTAACGTTTTGGGGAATTTGAAATGGCTGAACAATTGAAAAGTTAAAGTTATCCATCATTTCTGCTGCAGATCCTTTTGGAGGAGACCCGTTCAAAGAGACTGATCCGTTCAAGTCTTCGTCTGAAGATTTCTTTAAGAAGACCACAAAGATGGATCCCTTCTCCACACCAGACCCCTTCAGTAAAAGTGCCACATTACCTTCCAAGGTACTTGTTTAAGACCAAAAGCAAGAAACATGGAATTAACTTATCATCATTAAATAAAATCCCCTTTTTTAAATAAAATCAAGATTTTTTTTTAATGAGTTTTCTTTACAATATTCAATACTTTGAAAATATAAATGCTTTCACTCTTGTTTTGCTTGCGGCAGCCAACCAGTCACTTCACAAGCAATGACCCATTCTCTTCAGGCAACCCAAAACCCAAAGTACCAGGTACGGTTTATTTTAATTTCCAACATCTGCAGTTTCTGTGAACTTAATGTATTTATTTTTGAATTAAAGTGAATGGAATCTCTCAGTCTTTGTGCCAAATATTGCCATAAATAGTCTCAATCAGTTGTACTATCCTCTTACTGTCTGTCATTGCTTGAGTTGTTTTTGTGATGGAATAACACTCATGAATGTATGTATATCTGCAGCTCTTTCAGTCAGTTGTTGGTTCACTCCAGCAGAAGAAAATGACTTTAATTTCCTTCATGATATTAATATAGCCCATACAAACACGTACACAATGTGGATTAGCTTGAATACCTTAGAGGTTGGAGGAACTTGAGCCTGTCACCACACTGAGGTCATGTTGACGCAGGCTGAGGTCACCATGGTGGCTTGCCTATTCAAACCATGGCAGCTGAGGATAGCTGTCAAATTAGCTTATTCATTTCCATACTCAGATTGTTGATAGTATTTCAAAAACAGCTACTTAACATCAACACTGGCTCAAGTTAGGCCTGGCATATATGACCATAAACCTAAATGTTCTTTACCTGAAAGGCCGTTTCACATTTATGGAATCAATATTCTTATGTATCATCTATCATTTAGTACAATATGTAGGCAGGCCTGAAGCTGCTTTGGACAACTGTCATAAAAATGGATGAATGTTCAACTCTAAGATCCTGTCATCATAGCCCTATGCAAAAATGTTCTTACAACTAATAATTGGAAACAAAAGTATATCCTGAAGCAATGGAAGAATTCTAAGGTCACATTAATGCTCACTATGGCAATGCTAGCAAACTTAGCATTTACCAGCTTTAATGTTTACAATGTTCACCTTCGTGTTTATGTCTGTTCCCATGCTAACATTGCTAATTGTCATTGCTAATTCTTGTGTGTGTCTGTAATCTATCCAATAATTTACCGAGACATGTTTCCCCATAACTATAGATCTCAACCCCATGATGTCCCTGGAAGAAAAGTCAAGGGATGGTCAAAGTTAGTACATGTATTGACTGGGAAGCATTTATGTGTACAAAATGTACACATAAATGGATGTTTCAGTTTGGACCGACATAGCAGACTGACTGACTGTAATCAATGTAATAGACTAGCTGTAAATATGCTTACTGATATTATATTTTTCTTCAGATCTGTTTGGCACGTTGGACCCGTTTGGCAGCGGTTCGTTCAGCAGCAGCAGTAACAGCTCGGCTGGCTTTGCAGACTTCAGCCTCATGTCGAAGCCCAGAGAGCCTTTTGAGGGCCGGGCCGGCTGGCTGCCGGACTACCAGAAGGTACCAGATACATGCTTATTCTTTATTTAGTGTTCTTCATCAATGCTCTTACATTTTTTACTTTGCATTACTTCGATTCAATTAAAAAAAAAATTTAATCATAAAAAGGAAAAATGTGAGAAGTTTTAGAATTTATTAAAACATTATCTTTTTCATCAGTTAATGTTTCTGTAAAGAGTCTATTGTTGGTAAATGTATTTTGTGTAATCAAGAGATTGTGAACGATTTATATTTATTTAACAAAAAGTGTGAACACACACGTCCAAGTCCAGATGTTCCCATTTTCCTCCATCTCTTAAAACGCAGCATGGTGAATCAGTGTGGCGTTCGATGGAGCTGGACTCATCACAATAGTTTCAAGAATAAAGAAGGAGAATCAGTTCCTCTATTTAGAAACAGCTTCTGTTGTAGCTGTTTCTATCAGTTTGCTATTAGCTGAGCTAGTGTGTGTGCTTGTGTAAATATAGTGTCTGTGAGACACTTTGAACTATTCCTTTTCTTCATGTGAAATTATACAGTGTTGGATTATTACTGGTGAAGGTTTTATTGCAATTTCAACCTCACCTGGCTCAACTCCCTGTTGCTCACTTCACTCTTTTATGCACATTTTAATAAATTACATCTATTTTGAATAGAACCACATATCCTCTCTGACTCTTTCCAGTCCGTGTTTGTGGATGATCCATTCAGCAGGAAGAGTGACACGCCAGCTCTGCCACCGAAGAAAAGTGTCCCCCCAAGGCCCAAACCCCCCAGTGGTGAGTGTGATACCTTTTTTTAAATTATAGGGTGTTGGAGATATTGGGACTCATTACCTTAAACGTCTCTCAGAGAACTCCACTAGGATAATTTGACCGTGTTAGAAAGATGAACAATGAAGAAGCATCTTTGAATACATACATGATCTGTCCCAGGCTAGTGCAACAAAGGTCAGCTTAAGAAAGAAGTGGGACTTTATCGAAACACCGATTAAGTTTGATGGTTTAATGTGATAACCACATCTCCACCATGCCCATATCACCATCCTGGTGTGGCTTACATAGATTGAGAGCTTGGCTTCAGCCAATTCCATTGTCCATTCAATCAAGATCAAGACACTGACATTACCAACAAGGCCCAACAAGCTCAACTTGTTAAAGACAGTCTTTCTAGTGCAACAGAGGCTTCTAAGGGCTACCCGACTCACAGTGTTCAGATCACCAGAGATCAAAGCTCTCAGGAACTGGCAGGAGGGGAAATGGCTTCTTTGTTGAAGGTTTCAATTAAAAATAGAAACATAAAAGAAACCTAGAAGGTTAGACTGTTTGGTACAAATGGAGGGAAGACTCCAGAAGAACTTTGTGCAAGACATCCCAAAAGTCTTAAATATGCTTCTGCATTTGCAAAGTCATGTATTGCTGTTCCTTCCTGTGTGTGTTTGTGGTTGGGGTCTGTAGGCTTGTTTGTAATGCTTTTCCTTCATATTCTTCTATGTGCCACCTTTTGCTGCATTTATTTTTAATATAAAGCAGTTTACATTTGCTATAAAAATAGGACCTCCTGCTCTGAACAATGTGCAGATATTTCCTGCTGACCTTTTTGACTTAATGTGTCAACATGTCAGTCAAACTTCACCTGAATGGACAGGAAATAAACCATTTTCAGTTCCCGGAAATCACAGGCACTCTTAGGATGTAGTTGAGATTATAGAAGTCTGCTTGACATCGATGCATCCGTTACTGGAACATGAACCCAAACATGTCAGATTATTATGATTGAGATACTGTCCATCACTAACATGGTCTTCCAATTCCATACTGCACCCTTAATTTATAAAGCAGTTCAGTTTGTAAACCGTCGGACAATAGTTTACCCTAAAATACAAGTGTAAACATGCTACACTGACACTCAGCCTAAAAATAAAATATAAGTAGTTGTAGAACACTGTACAAGGATTCTCTCACTTCCTACTTTATGCCCATAACACATGAGACGCATGGTGTCTGGTTGCAGATATTGAAAATGAATAATGATCGATAATTAAAGATATGTTGGAGGAAAATGACAAGTAAAGGTAGCTTGGGGGTGGCACAACACTGTCCCGTGGGAATCATTGTTGATAATGTGAATCACGATTACCCAGAATACCCCTCTGTGTTCAGCCTCAACTGTGGCCACACTTGGTGCTATTACACTACCCTGCATGCTTTCTGACTCAGGGGTTGTAGAATGGTACTAAAGAGAGACGTGTTACAGTTTAGTATTTGTTTTAAGAAGAGGCAGCAGACAGCTTCATCTCCACTGTTAACTCTGCAACTACTAATGCAAACATTCACGTTATTGCTTTTCAATATTTCATAGATATTTTCTATTAGGATTGTTAACACAGTGCAGTTCTGATGTTTGTGTAGGCACATGAAGGTATAAGAGAGATGATCTGTGGTTAGCTTGGCTTGTTGTTTGCAGACACACCCTAACCTACTTCCCCTCTCTTTAGTGTGTGTGTGTGTGTGTGTGTGTGTGTGTGTGTGTGTGTGTGTGTGTGTGTGTGTGTGTGTGTGTGTGTGTGTGTGTGTGTGTGTGTGTGTGTGTGTGTGTGTGTGTGTGTGTGTGTGTGTGTGTGTGTGTGTGTGTGTGTGTGTGTGTGTGTGTGTGTGTGTGTGTGTGTGTTGGCTGTCCTGGATCAGGCAATATAACGATTGTCTTCCTCTTCATATAATAAAATTATAATATTTGTGTTCTGTCTTCAGTTGCTTTACTTGTAGTGTTTTCAGTAGATTAACTACTGCATGTGCAATTGTGTGATAGACTTTAAAATCAGATGACACTAATGTAGTGGGTTATTTTAAAATTGGGTGGAGCCCATGGTTGTGGTTTCTCGTTTGTGTGTCTGTGTGCGCAGTTTACTGAAAGAGGAAAGAAATGATTGGCAGGCATTGAGCTTTGCTCAGCATGGTGTGAACTGAACAGCTGACCCCGAACAGCCCAGTTATCTTGATAATAGAGCCAAACACGTGTGTGAACACTTTGACTGCTCCTGTGGTTTAACACCCATAAAAGCAACATGGTGCACTTTTTTATGTTCCCACGGCCCTCTGCCATGCACAGCTGCTGTTTTAAGCAGAAACTGCCATTACTATAATTATTGTTGCTAAATTATTTCTTATTTGTAGACAGACCCCCTGTGGTTCTTCAGCATGTGTGATAAATAAGAATTACTTTTTATAGCATATCTATATAAGTGTTTCAAATATACTGGTGTAAATTCAAGGGCCTCTATAAGAAGCTTTTTAGACATTAAAGAGATTTCAGGTCAAGAAAAATGCTACTGATTAGACCTTTTTATTCTATATCTTCATTGAACAAGGACCATGCATAGAATACATTCATCTCAGAAAGAGAAAAAAAAAGCTATATGCCACATTTTTGCTAGTGGCTAAATTCTATGAAAGTATTAATGTTTCACTGATCGCAAGGGCTAACATATAGCTCCATTACAAGATGTACAGATATGTTTTTATTATTTTCTACACATTTTTTACGACTTGACACAGAAAAAGCACAGAAACATTATACACAGAGGTTTCATAATCAATATCATCATATCAACATTTTTGGCCCTGTCAGGATTTTTCTTGTTTTGTATAATTCTTTGTGTTAACTGTTAGTCAAACCAAACAAGTTGCCACTGTGGGGTATTCTGATGGTCTTTTATCACTACAACTGTATATTGTTTTTCTTTTTAATATAGAAAATATATATTTGATATGGTTTCATTAATCACCAAAATATCAAAAGATAGTGAAATGATCTTTTAATTGCAGGGCGATATTATGTGTCCATAAATCCTGACTTTGTCAATGTATGTGTAAAATATGGTATTGAGTTATCCTTGAGGACAATGAATGTGTGTGGTCTTTGAAGATGAACATGTTATTTGCGTAGTTGGTACTTTGGTGAACCAACAGTTTGTAATGTGGGCAGAAACCCAACCGAGAGTCTTACCAGGAAACCGTTGAGCACGGTTGCGTGGGTAACGGGTTATCACGTTTGTTTTTGTCCTCGGGTGTTGTCTTTCGCTCAGTTTTTCCCATACCAGCGGAGGATGTAGCACTGTATGTGGTAACTTGCAGAAAGATTTGTATTGGCACTTGCTATGAACTGCTGTGGTGTGGAGGTGAAACTCGCACAACTTTCAGAGCTGTTAGCTATCTCTGAGGTGACAGCGGAGTTATTGCAGGGCGTGGGCAGACCCATGAGAACTACATCATTTAGTTTTGTGAGTTTCAATCCTGAATGATCAAATCAGATCCTGTGTTATCAACATAGTTCACTAAGAGAATTTCCCATGCAATCTGCAGTGAACATCTTCCCCTGAGATACGTGAGACCTGAAGCCTTTGACATGTCTGCTTTAGTGTTTTTCTTTGCAGCTCTCTTGTCTTCCTCACCACACTGCAGATATTTATTTGCAATCAGAGAACTTTCTTTTTCGGTTTTTCCTTATTCCCTTTTTGTATGCCTCTTCGCAGGCGACTGCCATGACGAGGCTTTCTGTGTTGGATTAATATATATGAATTTGGATAACAAAGATCATTATCTCTGTGACCTCACAAAACACATTTTTGGCCAAAAAACAAATGTCAGTAATGACTGTGACGTGTAAAGGGAACTGGAATCAGAGTTGGAGGAGCTTCTCATTCCTATGAAAGTTGCTCAGTGGCGCATGAAGCCAAAATGGCTTGACTCGAGGAAAGAATTGTGGATTACAGGGCAGTTAGACTCATTGAGCACGAGCACTTGCGGTTTCCTTAAGCCCCGCCTCTGGACAGTCAAATGAAAGGAGAGGAGAAAAAACCCGGTATTTGGCTTTTAGTGAATTTTGCTACTTTCAAGACGTAATCATTCCAATAGGGACTATTACAGTGTTCGTACCTGGCACGTACTGGGTATTCGATTTAGCTGAAAACGTCACTGACATGGAAACTAGTACCAGCGTTTGGCCACTATGCAAATTTGCTTCAATGCCTGGCATACTTCCTGGGGGTTTAACGTAAACTGCAACTTGAGTTGTTGGCGGAAGCATACGAATTCTGGTTATTATCGTTAAAGCCTTAGCATTTAAGAGTTTTCATCAACACTGTTGTATATGCCCGTTTAACTCTGAAAGCATGTGTGGAGATGATGGAAACATATAGAACCGTGCCTATCTGAAATCTCTCTACTCTCTTTTTGATTGTATCGATGATTGTCCTTCTTGTCTTCAGGTAAAAGTACTCCAGTGAGCACGTCTGGAGCAGTTGACCCTTCCAAACCATGTGACCCTTTCCAGCCATTTGGCAGTGACGCCATCGACCCGTTTCAGACGAAAAAGGGCGTGGGAGACCCGTTCAGCGGCAAAGACCCTTTCGCCGCACCCTCGGCAACAAGTAATGTCCCTAAAGACTCAACATCAGGTTTTGCAGACTCCAGTTGTGTACGTTGAGATGGTTGATGCTGTTTAACTGTCACTGAGTAGAGATGGCCGCACAGCTATGCACAGACACAAGAACATTTTATAGTCTGATACTGTAGGGACTTTAACATGCTCCTAAAGACTTGTGAGGATGGATTAAGCAGAGCTCTATAAAGGTAGTGCATTCTGGCTGAATGGTGCTACTCGGATGAATCTGAGACGGCAGTATCCCCTCTCAACTGTCAGCTCTGGAGTCTGTCTGCCTTGCTTTATGTTACTAAATTCACCATCTGTGTTGCTAGATGTTTACTTCATGAACTCTGATGTCACTTCTCGATAAGCACGTCTTATGTTAGTGAAGTTTGGCTTTTTATCACCTCTTAAGCATACTTCTACATATTTGTTGTGCTGCCTGATATCAGCGCAGGCATCTGCTTCACCATCTGATACAAACTGACTAAACTAAATCATTATTTATGTTAAATAAAAAATCCTAATCCCTTTGCCCCCAAGAAAACCAAGTAAGTACACACAGAGACAGAGAAACTGCGCAGGAATCCCTTCACAATCTTGGTGTGTTGTGCTTTGAATTCTAATACATAATGTCTCTGTTCTGTAATCCACTTCTCTGACAGGACCTGACAAAGCCAAGGTAAGAGACTGAACACACAATACAATGTACTTAAACATGATGACAATTAATCCACATAATCTAAAGAGCAGTACGTGATATTATGGATGTTATCATGTGTAGCTGAAAAAGGAAATTACATTTGTATGTCTCTATCCATCCATATATTTCACTTTCAGAAATAGGAGGACAGTCTTTCTATCTTTGTTCCTTTGTTGTATGCTAGGTAGCTTTCTCTGAGTTGTTGTTAGCCAACCTGGTTAGCCGTTTTCACAAATGTATATTTCTTATTTTAAGGTTTGTCTCGTTTTCAAACGGTTTGTCTTCCTGTGTGTAGTTTGGGAACGAGGCTCAGCAGTTGGAGTGGGCGAAGCGAGAGAGTGAGCGGGCAGAGCGAGAGCGGCTGAAGAGGCTCAGGCTGCAGGAGCAGGAGGACTTGGAGCTGGCCATCGCCCTCAGCAAGGCCGAGATGTCCAATGCATGACCTGGGAACCCCCCCAAACTCCCCCCCCCCAAACACACATAGCGAAGAGACATGCAGAAAAACATGACTGATATCGAAATACTCAGACACAAAGCACACTACCGGTATAACTCATGTTCATACAAACTCTGGTCCACACACACACACACACACACACACACACACACACACACACACACACACACACACACACACACACACACACACACACACACACACACACACACACACACACAGACAGGTCCTGCATCTCCACTAGTTACATTCCCCCATGCGCAATGACTCAACCAATTAAACAGAGAACTTAAAGGCCGTTGACATTTAAAACCCAAGACAACAAAACTGAGGGCCGACAACTCCATATTGTAATGCCGCGAAGAGACAAAGGAAGAAGAAAGAGAGGAAGAGGAAGGTGTGGCCTGAAGGAAACAAACGGATGCACTGTGTTTATGCACTATAGTGGCTGGATCCAGGCTGAGCACCTCGACTGTTTGAATTCCACGCGTTGTTTTCCAGCTCCACTCACATGCTAACAACGCTGCTAGCAATGAGCAGCTGTGACGAAAATTATAGTTGAATTCAAACCGCCCAGGTATTTCTTCAAAGGGATTTTTTTTACTGATATATATAAGGGCCGACATGGATATATCACACACTACTGATGGTATTACCTGTGTCCGTAAGTGTTTTGGTGGTAGGAAAATGCTACAGGATGAGGCGTTGCTTAAGTATTTGTTTATAGAGAAGAATGGATTTATCGCTCCTCAGAGATTCTCAAATCTCTATTCTCCAATTTTCTTTCTCAGGAAATGCTGTCACAAATCCATACTCAGTGAAGAGATGAAAAAGTTGATACTGGTTGAGTTTTTTTACTCCTCCCCACTGCGTTTTGCTAAGATTTGACCTCCAGACAAGGTTGGATTAACATCAGGCTAAGCAGGCAGGTCCCTCAGGGCCCAAAGACTCCAGGTTCACTGTGTGGCACTTAGTTTGTGCTTTATTTATTTAATCACATATATGTTCAAGAATATGCCACACCCACTGAGGAACAAAATACACATGTGATTTCACAGCACTACTTTGGTTTGTACCTCATTATGAGGTAATGTGCTGTAAAGGCGCCCAAGTTACAATGGGTACTTCTTCATGTTTAGCCCCCTAAAACCCGATGATGTCACTGTGATATTTTAAGGGTTCATTATTTATAAAATTTGAGAAGCTATTATGAAACTTGCCCTTTAAAGGATTCACTTGCCATGATGTGTAAAAAGGTGTAGTTAGTTGGGTCATATGTTAGATATTGGATATTTAAAGAATTGAAAAGTTGACTTCAATTAAATATATTATTTCAAAGATTACCTATAATGTATTATTTAAGTATAGCAATAATTAAGTTGAAAGTCTTTTTTATTTAAACTCAATATTATTACTTCCAACTAACCTAAGACAATGATGTGTAAACTGTTGACATGATACATTTAATTAGGGTCAATGTTTTAAAAAAAATATTACAGTAAATAATTTAATTTCTGAATTTAGCAGACTAAGTAGCTCCTCTTCATTTGCATTTCCCCGCTTAGGCTTTTTATTTATTGGGATTCTCATAGTGTTAAAATGTTTGGTCAACTCAAAGAAAAATATTAAGATAATTGTTCTAACATCACGTGATATATGATTTTACTCATTTTGCTCAGCCTTTGTGTTAAGTCTTATTATTTCACATTGGTTTAACATTGTGCATATTCCAGAACATATTTGTGCTTAATTAACAAAATAACCACCACCTAATATAATTACTATAAACTAATATAGACTATACATAAAGAACAACAAAGTGGGCGGGTCAATGTGGCCCCGGGTCCAGTTCAGGTTCAATATATTTCACATTATGAAAGGAAAAAGAAAAAACAACTGATAAAGATCAATCACTGGCTCCCTCTAATGTGACAAACACCTGACTTGTGAAAACAACTTTAGACGTCAGCATCCTTTGAGTGACCGCAACAAATTTGTACAGATATATTTCCTTATCCACGAGTGTGAGGTTGTACCGCGTGTTTAGACAAACTGAGCTAACTCTGCCTCTCCTCCACAGCTGTGATGTCACACATTCAACTAATGACAGGTGAGATGAGGCAAATCGTTTTTCTACGTTTCTTTTCTTTTTATAGGAGGAGGATTTTAACCGTTTTTTGGAGCTGGCTTTTATTTGAAATGTTTTTGTTTTAAAGGAACATCTTAAATGAATATTGTAGTTCTCTACAGACAGTGAGCAGAAGCTGGAGAGTGTTTGGAAAGGGTTGGAGTATCAGGTGTCGTAATGCTGGGAATTTTAAATATTGGAAAAGTGCTATTTCTTATGTGTCATCGTTTGATGTTTTTCTCATGGACTGAACCACTGTTTTTCTATGAGTTGTCCCTTTTACTTGAAGTAGTGAGTGATGTTTGTGTCTGTTTGATTTCATGTGGACTTTAAAGCAGAAGTTATTTTCTGTTTCACTTCGAGCCCCTGTGTTTCTAATATCATGTTTAGAAATGCAATTCTTTATTGGTGTGTCATTCTCAATCATAAGCTTCAGTCAGTGTTTCGCCTGCAGTCAAATTCTGACGATACCGTCTGAACATTACTTTTGGAGTTTCTCTTTGCTTAGATATAGCATAGCCTGGTGACATTGTTAATGTTCCTTTTTGAGCCCAGGTTAAACCTATGGCCCTTTTCATCATATTTAAATACAGTGCTGGATGTCTTTTGAGGGAATTCAAACACTTCAGTCTGATGTCAAATACATGTGTTACGAGGAATGGAGGCATTTTGAAACTCCCCTTAACAACTTTTAAGGTGGAAATGAAACAAATATTTTGTAAAATCTCAGGAAGTCTGCTCATTAATGGCAAAATACGACCATTTAAGTCTTTAACTTTTGTTTTAATAAGCCCCCTGCCACCAGAGGCAGCAGTGAGCATAGTGCTTCTCAGTAATTATCCACTTACCCTTAAGAATTCATCACAAAGGATGAAGATTGATTTTACCCTGTTTTTATTACTTCTTTCCCTTGCAGTTTATTGTTTAAATGTTTGACCCATCTAAATTATTTTATTTTACTTTAAATGTTGGTTCTCTCTGATCACCATCCAGCACTGTGACACAATGCGATATTACTTTGGGCTAGGTCAAAAATGCTAACAAGCTCATTTTGGGATGAAACTCCAGAACAAAAAATAATAATTGGACAATCATATTGTGATGAAAACGACTCAAATGGAAGTTTACTTTGTGTTGGTGCGGGGCTTTGCATTGAGAATATGACATTTCTTACATTTCTCAGTCACCACACTGAACAATAGCATGAGACTGAAGTATCAAACTGTTGCTGTCCCCCAGATATTTTACATGTGTAGAGCTGCCTTTCTGGGGTTCAAAATGCTTCTAATGTGAATTCACAGAAAAGATGACATGATGGAAATGTGAACTGCTTCTCCCATGTCATGTTTTTGTCCTGTTTACATATCATACATATTTAGTTTACTCTAGCTGTTACAGCAGTGTTCCTGGTACATGGAGCTTCTCTAAGCTGTACACCTCCAGATTGACATCTTAAATCTTTGCCTTGCCCTTGTCACACTGTGTTGAAGATGTTACGATACGATGTCAAACATCTTTCCACCTGTTCAGTCCTCATTGAAGCAAAGGTGCTAGTAGCGGGCAGCTAACAAATCTAGCTTGTTGTCTAGCTCTTCTGAGAACATGTCCGTTTGTTATGTAACGTGCTGCTAGCTTGGTAGCTACATGTGTGGAACTGACTTTCTCTGGGAACAAATACTTTTAATGTGAATTCAGAGAAAATGTAGCTAGCTACCAAGCTAGCTTATTGTCAGTTCTCCATTTTCGGTTAACATGTTCACAACAACGTGACATGCAGCTTGCCCCATTCGAAAAGAACAAGACTTTTGTTCAAAATGTCCCCTTAAAGTTGGACTTGGTGTGTCTAGTCCTTATAGTCACATTGAGACATTTGAAGGCTCCAAAAACGACTGTTTCCAAGGTAATACATGATGTTAATCCCGCTCAGACCAAGTGCTGGACGGTCTGAAAAGTATATACAAATGTAAAATATGTTTAAATTGAGTGAAAGGAAATGTAGTATTAGATAAAAAAATTAAGTTACAATCTTATCACCAGAAATGTGAAGTCAGATAATAGTATGACAGTTCCCCCGTTTGCTGCTATAGACAGATAAGTGGGTGCCAAGACGTATAGATACCTGACCCCGNCATGTGTGGAACTGACTTTCTCTGGGAACAAATACTTTTAATGTGAATTCAGAGAAAATGTAGCTAGCTACCAAGCTAGCTTATTGTCAGTTCTGACCCCGGCTTGTCTGCAGTGTACTGCTTAGAGAGCTGAACTCCACACCGGTACCATCTTTTACTGTCATCCGTTACCTCCATTGTGCAATAGATAATGTTTATTTTTATTGTTGTTTTTGTATATCCTGTGAAACTTGTTTTTGATGTGATTATTTATGCACCAGCAACCACTCACTCCCAGCTCTGTAGAGCAAGGTCAATACAAAAGGATACAATCTTAATCATTTTTAAGATTCACTTTATTTCTTTATCAATGGTGGATTTTTTTTGGAATGAAACCTTTCAATCTCTCTTACTGACATACTGATGCGTTTGGGGGAACCTCTTTGATTCACTTAAGTTTTCTTCTTTCTGAGGCTTGTTGGATTTTGTTTTCTTTGCCTTCAACTGCCCTTCCTCCCGTGTAGGCAAACTACTTTAAGGCTGTCTTTAATAAGATACATACGATGTGTATACAGTCTGTATAGTACCATGTCTGTTATATTTGTCCTGTAAAAAGTGAAGATGAAGAAGAAAAAGTAAACTTGATGAGGAACCATTTGGAGGAGCAAACAGATATTTTGAACAGTGATCCCCTCTACATGGTCTGTGCTGTTTACTAGAATAAACATTTCAGTTAAAGGAGAACGAACTGCTGCTTGATTTGTGGAGCTCATCTTTAAAGAGACAAGAAGGATTTTCAGTTGAGTGCTATTATATTATAATATTGCACATCCATAACGTTTTGGAAGTTACAAAAAGCTAATAAAAAAAAGAGAAAAAATATCAAGTCAGCCAAGGGTTAAATATCCTTTTAGTGTTGCTTAAACTCCAAAAAGGACTGAATCATGCATTTCCCAAAATGCCACTATTTTATTTTGACAGATAACAAGTTGATGATTTAAAATTTAAAATGTGAGCTTTGTTTTGTGACGCAAGAGACAGCTGTTGAGTTTAAAAAGTGTAAGTCCGTCAGCGTGTGGTTCCATTTAGGGATGCAAATAACACAATCACCATGAGAATATGATATTTATCACAAAGGCTGCAACCCTATCATTTTGATTCAGATCCTGTAATTGTAAAAACAACTTCAAAAAGCAACAAAAAATTGTTTTCATTATTTTGAGTTTTCTACAATGCTGTCTCTTCACCCCCTTGTTTGTACCACAGGCTTTCTGACATACAGCACAAACTGAGATAAACCACATGACATCACTCTGACATTTACAGGGTGAAAGACAATACATACTGTAACTGATTTCAGTGGGTGAGTATAGTAACGGTGACCAATTTTGTATAACATTAGTGTCACTTTTCACATCAAAAGGCCTTAACTGTGGCAGTAAGATGTAACAGTACAAAAAACACCTTTTAGTTGCTTTGGTTTCACGGTCCTCCTAGTGTGCATGCTCCACCACTGTCCTGAAGAAAATAGCCATCCTTGATGTTATCAGAAACACCTGTCCCCTTCTCCTGTGTCAAGTAAAAATGTCATATGTTATAATGGTTTGATGAAGGAAGAGGAGAGGAAAAAGGTTCCTCAAAACTGTTGAAGGACATATTTAATACAACTGACATTTTTGCCATGTTGCAGCACAAAAATAGCAAAAAACAAAGAGTGTTCGGAGGAGTAACACATCAGTCAGAGAGGCTGTTTCATACTTGTGGTAGTGTCCCACAGTTGACCTATTTTCTTTAGTAAAGTCTATACTCCCCACCCTGTATTTGCTTTCCAAGGAACACAGAGCTTTTTCTCTTTCTGCTCTGTGCAGTCAAACAGGTTTCCTACCTTCAGTCAGCCTTTTCCCTGCTCAGCACTTCCTTCTGGGACCTTACTTGATCTTGACCACAGTCCTGATGATAGCTACGCTAAAAGAAAGTAGCACATTTAAAGGATAATTCCGGTTTATTGCAACTTGAGTCTTTTCTTCGCAGTTTTCGTCATCATTTCTCTGAGTAATAATAACGTTGTTCTCACAAAGACAATATCTGAATACAGGGATATCAATATAAGGATGATTGACAGGTAAAGAAACACAAGCGAGATGATCAGAAGGTTGGAAACAAACCTCCAGAGTAGCCAAGAATGATTAAAAAGAGTAGACATGTTCATATTATACCCAGACTGTCTGTCAAAGCGTTGACCAATCACAAAGGCTGGATAAGCGGCCAGGCAAAACTAACAGCTCAGTCACAGCGCTCCATGCGCCCCGGAAGCTCAGATTGTTCTTATTTAAATGAGCGTCTGTTTGGGACTATGCATTACTGAACAACAATATCACCCAGGTGGATCACAGACTTCCTGCCTGACAAGAAACAGCTAAGGAAACAATTATTAGACTCCCACACCATCAGAACTGGTTTCCAAGGCTTAATTCTGCAAAGAAACCCATGTGTAACTTGCCCTAAATTAGAGAAGTAGAATGTAAACTCTTATGTCATTAAAACCACCAACAAACCAGGAACAATTCTGAGAACATGACCAATGGTAGCCAAATGCAAGCAATGTTCCTATGTCTCAGCTTAAGTACATACTTTTTTTACCTGAAGAAAGTATATTCAAAGCAGGCCCGGTTCTACGGGGGTGCATAAGGGTGCATTGCACCCTCAGTTGAGTAGTTATGCACCCTCATTTGAAAAATGAAAAGTGAAAAAAATGAAAAGTCTAAAATATTACATATATAATAACAATAATAATATTAGTAGTAATTGTAATAATCAGAAGAAGAAGTATAGCCTATAGTTGGAATAAAATACATTGTAATTGTGGTTAAATAACATTGTCTGCTGCATTTATTTGGTCAATTTAAACGTTAAGTAACGTTATTATGTCAGGAGCGCGGGACCTGTGCCGCTGCACGTTCATCATCTGCAAGGTGCTTACACAGCTGTCAAGGATGGACATCAGAAAATGGTTAAAACAACCAGCCCTTATCGCCAGCAGTAACACTGCATCTACTGCAGGTAATAACAGTTCAGATCATGGCGACATTACGCGGCCACTGTCGTGGACACTAACGCCCGACTCGCCGGCTTTAACCGCCTCGCCCACGGAGGCGGAGCAGCTGTCTTTCTTTGCCCCAAACACCGCCACCCCTCAGTGACCTGCAAGTGCCAGAGGACCTCGGCAAAATAGAGCCTGCCCAGGTACAATAAAAAAAGTACCCAACTCGCCTGTACAGTGGGTTAAGTCGCTCATTTGCAGCTCATGGTTTCAAAACAGAGATTGGCTGGAATATTCATGTAAAAAAGATGCCATCTTCTGCTATGCATGTAGACATTTCGGTTCAAGTAAATCAGATGCCTTCACCACAACTGGCTACAACAACTGGCGCCATGCTCTTGTACGTGATAAGGGACTGGGAAGGCATGAACCAAGCAAAGAGCACATAGATCCATAGATCTCTTAATTTTGCTCTCAAAGTGCACCAGATTGATGATTTTAACTTCAATATAAAAAAAAAAAATCCACTCCCCTCTTATAAAAATAGCACTTTACCACTGCACCCTCTCTAATCTCAGATGCACCCTGAGTCATTTTCTTCTGGAACCGGGCCTGATTCAAAGCAACAACAACCTCCTCTGTTGCTCTCCCTGAGGTTTCTCCCATTTTCCCCTTTAAACTGTGGGTTTTTCTCTGGAAGTTTTTCATTGTACGATGTGAGGGTCTAAGGACAGAGGATGTCGTATTGTCATACTGATATTCTGTACAAACTGTGAAGTCCACTGAGACAAATGTAACATTTGTGATATTGGGATATATAAATAAAAATTGATTGATTGAACATACCAATGCACTTTGTAAACAAACTGAAATAACCTTCAAAGTAGCAAACATTCTATGACTTTAACATATAACAAGACAAGCTGTTTCTCTGACGCTGACAAGGCCTTCCAAAGAGCTTAGACAACCTGCAGTAATAACCCCCCCAGCCCCATGTGCAGTGAATTACACTCAGCTACATTTCATGGACACAGCTGTGTAGTGTGAAATGAATGCTGTGCAAACACAGCGGCCATTTCTGGACGTATTAGCTGAAACCTAAGCAATCTGCTATGTTAGCGAATGCTAACTGTCTCCGTATGGAATAACAGGAAATTCCTTGCTAGGTTTGTGTTTACCCTATGGTAATGGAGAAGAGGAAATGAAAAGCCTATTGGCTTTTAACTAGGAATGTGGGTCACAGAGAATTGCAGGATAAATGTTGGTTTGCCCTCACAATAGTTCTGTATCTCTCTTTCTCTCTCCTCTAATAAATGTTCTTTCCCTTTCACCTTCATCAGCACTCGTACTTCACCATTTTCATCCTCTAAAAACATGCGTGCTTTGTGTAGGCCGTATTCGTTTTTTGGATTCAGAAGCCATCGCTAATATCCAGAGGATGTTCTTTGAAAGAACTACTCCATAAACTTACATAAAATAAATGAAATTTCAGAGATGTTGACTATGACCGCAGTATTTCTAAAATGCTGGCTAGAAATTCATCGGGTCTAAATCTTGTTCAAGCTAGCTGTAGAGAATTGAGCAACTTAGGGAGAGTTGTACACAATTAAGCAAACAATCTATATAACATTCAGCCAAGAGGTCATGTTTAGTTGTGGATACAGAAAACAACCTTGTATATGATTTAAAAATAGATATTTATTTATATGTAATTATAGCCTCCTTTTTTTGTTTTCAGTCATTGTGAGTTAGCAATTGGACGTTAGCATTTAGCCTCACGCAGCAGCTAGCGTGATTCTTAGTCCTGCCTTTCTCTGCAAAGTCTGTGAAAGACTGATAAGTGATAAGGCTGTCCAAACAGAAATCGGCTTTCCAAATAACAGATCTGTTTGAGATACAGGAAACATGCAAATTTGACTTTCAACATTTCATCCGTTTCATCCAGCACCTCGTTGGCCGGGAATCACACTGTTT